TTCATAGAAATGCTCAGTTAAAGGGTTTTTCATAGGTAATTTTAATTGTAAATCATCATTATGTTTATAACTCACTTACTTGGGATGTAGAGGTTTTTTTTTTTAGATTGCTCCCAGATGACCATGTTAGAGTAGTCGAGGGTGGGCAATAATTTATATGGGGGGGGCCACTCCAAGATTTTGGTAAGTAGTCAAGAGCCACACTTCTATGGAGGGGCCGCAGGGTTTGGGATGGAGGTTGGGTGCAGAAGGGAGCTTGGGATAGGAGACTGGTTGCAGGAGGGGATGTGGGAGGGAGTGTGGATGAAAGAGGTGGTTATGACCTGAGTCAGGAGATTGGGATGCAGGGTCCAACAGGGGGTAAAGGTGCAGGAGAGGATTCTGGCCTGAGGGAGAGATGTAGGAGGGGGTGGAGAGCCTGGAAGAAGGGGGGTGCAGAGGGTTTAGGTGATGACCTGGGTCAGGGAAGGAGTGTGGATGCAGAAGAGGATTCTGGCCTGAGGGAGGAGTGTAAGAGTGGCTCCAGGGTCTGGGAAGGAGTTCTGACCTGGATGACATGGGGAAAGGGGATACAGAGGATTTGGGTGGTAGACTGGAGCTGATAATTAAGGGAGAGAGAGGGGCTGGTTGGGAGGCACTTACCTAGGCGGCTCCCAGACAGCAGCCCTGCAGAAACTTAAGACAGGCTATCTGCATGTGTGCTGCAGTCCCAGGCTGCTCCGCGTGGCTCTACCCTAGCATAGGGAGGGAGGAGGCTTTGCATGCTGTTCTTGCCCCCAGCAAAATTTCTCCACTCCACTGGCTAACAGGATCTGAGAGAGATTGCTGGGGGGTGGGGAGCAGCAGGTGAAGCTTCTCCCATCTCTCCCCAGCTTCCAGAGCACAGAGCAACCAGCCGTTTAAAACAGCATGAGCTCTTCTGTACCTAAGGTCCCAGGTACAGTCTTGACCATCCCTGGAGTAGTCTGATAAAGTATAACAACTGCTGATTAATCATGATAGAATTGGCAAAAGTTCTGCTTTTATTCTGCATTCAACCAGTTCCAACGCGTTAAGTAGTTTTAACCAGGAGTTAAATAAGTATTGACTGTTAAGCTTCAGGATTTTATCATGGATATTTAAGCAAAAAGTAATATGTGATATTATATTTCACATAGGTCTTTTTCAGACCTTTTCTAATGGCCTCTTTGTTTAATTGGGATGATAGGCTAACCACTAGCGTGTCCCAAGAGAATCTTATTGTATTGAGGAAAACGTACAGTTAATTTGTGGATTGCATTAGCCCAGTCGTCCCCAACCTTTAGAGGCTGCCGGGCGCCAGGGGGCGGGGACACATGCACGCCCGGGGGTGGGCCCCCCCATAGCTGCGTGCTTGGGGGCGGGGCTCCCCCGCAAGCGCTGCGCGCCCGGGGCCGGCACCCCCTCCAAATGCCGCGCACCCGGGGCCAGCGCCCCCTCCCAGCGCCGCCCGGGGCCGGCGCTTACCATGCGCCCGGGCCGGCTCCGGCACAGTGCATGCACCACATGCCCGGGGCCAGGCCAGCCCCGCGGGCACCGTGTTGGGGACCACTGCATTAGCCAGACTATTTATATATTGAATCCCATCTCTGTAGCATGGCCAGAAAGAAAATGGATGAGTCCTGTCTGGTAAGAGACTCTCTATTCCACTCATCTCAGCAGAAAAAAGAAAGCCTCTTGTAGGTCAGTTGTGATCATTATGAGGATTTTTTGGCAGTCTTCCATCTTAAGTTAATATATAGTATGTATGGCATTGCTTTTGCTAGTTTTGTTTAAGCGTTTATGGTTATGGATAGACTCCGTATGTTATGCAAGGAAAAATGTTAAGGCCCCTGTCTCTACACTGAGACAAATGGTGTTGGATATGTTTTGAAATATGTTTCTTCTCTGCAAGGCAGTAACTTCCTTTGACCACTGAAGGCCAAACCACATCATGTTTTAAACAATGTGCAAACTAGAACTTAGTGCAGAAGTCAGAGAAAGTTAGTAAGCTTCGAGGAGGGGACTGATATTGTACAAGGCAGGAAAGATATCAAAGGTTTTCTGAATATATTGGAGATAAAAAGACAAGAATAGGAGATTGCAATAGTCAAGGGGAAAGATGACCCAGGTATTGATAAGAGTTTGAGATGCAGGAATGAAACTGGAAAGAACAGAATTCATTATTTATATTAATACACCCAATTTAAGTACATTTGATTCCTAAATATTGTTTGACAGTGCCCTTGATGAACGTTTCTTAAAATATTTATTCTAAAATTATGTAAAACTATTTTTGTCAATATCTGTCCCTCCACAATTTTCAGTGTGCTAAGTGGAAACAAGAAATGGAGTTTATGGTGTTAAGAACCTGGATCCATGCCCACCAGCTGTGAGTGGGCAGTAGTGGTACCTCTGACTTTGTTGTCTGCTTTTTTTTTTCAGTCTCGGTTTACATATTTTTGCACTGGCTATTTCTATCTCAGTCTGTGGTTTGCTGCTTTTTAGGTGTTTTACTATTAGCACTTCAAGGAGGCATAAAGGAGGATTTCTTTAAAGATGCTGGAACTCAGGATTTCAATGTTAAAATATTCCATGCAGAATTTGTAAGACGGTCATGATGAACAGCAACATGCATTAGGTTTAAGTGACCATAACTGCTCTAAGAAAATTGACCCGTGGATGTAACAGCATATTTTCTGCATCAGTGGGAAACTGCAGTGTAGAAATGTATGGAACAGAATGATGATATCTGATTACAAAGAAAAGTTAATCACAGATTAGTAACATCTGTGTGAACAGATAATTAAAATAATAAATATTTATCTAGAAGATACTCTCAAGTATTTATAGACTTGGATTTTGTTGCTATTTGAATGCCTGGAAAATCAAGGAGTTTTGAAGCTATGTATGGCAAGTTCTGGGTGTTTGTTTTTTTTAATAGTGTTAAACTAACCAAATTTAATTAACAAAATAACAGTATAGCTTGATGAAGGGGCCTGAGTCATGAAATTAAGCTCTGAAGCCAAACTCTGAAGCATATTAAGGAAAGAGCACCAGCATTCATTTTATCTTTGCTATTCACAGCTGCAATCTCAGATTTTTGATTCTCGTCTTATCCTACAAGCCAGCTCCATTACTCTTGGCCTTAACTATTGGAAAACTACAATAATTAATTTTCCCCAGAGACTTAAATATTAATACTATACTTTCATTTGTACATCTGTGTATATGCATTTTGCTTTATGCATATGTAGAAACCTACACACTAAGATAATATTTAGTTAATAGCTCAAAAAGGGATTATAATTAATAACTGCAGTTTTCCTTTATGTAAGGCAAGAGTAATATACCGAAGACTTTTAGAATTACACAAGAGTCCAAAACCTGAGGTTTGTGGCAGATTCTGGAAAAAATGGGAACACATGACTCTGGTCTACCCCTAACAAAATATGTCTGTAACTGGTGAATCATTGCCTTAGATTTAAAAAGCTTGAGAGTATGTTTAACTTTAATTATGTGTTGAAATCTAATTTCAAGCACATACTTAAGTTGCATTTTAGTCATAAAATTAAATATGCACTTGTGCATTGCTTAATTGGGTCCTCTAAGATTTACTGTGCCCTTAATATTACATGCTACTAATATCAGACACTACAGAAAAATACAGTTATGCTCTGTTCAGGGTAGAAATAATCCTTTTATAACGTGAGTCAAGCTCTGATTTGCAAGCTCAGCAGAATTTTATTCAACATGGCCATAACTTTTTTATTTATGCTGTTTGATGGTAACAGAGTCCTTTATGTGAAGAACAACAAGCATCAGAAAGTAGAAGAGTGGCGTGATGATGATGATCAAAAATTGCTCTACTCTACGGGTAGGGTTGCCAGATGGTTTCAACAAGAATACCGGACACACTTGACATTACATCACAATCTACATTACATCTTATTTAGAAAATACTGGACATTTATATTTTCTCAATTTGTTTCCTGAACAGAAAATTCAAATACTGGACTGTCTGGTTCAAAACCGAACACCTGGCAACTCTATCTACTGGCAACTCCTTCCCAGTGGAGACAAAACCTCACGATTGTCAGAACAGCTTATCCAGTCTACAAACTCTTGTCTATTAGAAGCTATGGTCATTCTTATGTTTTATCCAATTAATATTTAGCATCTGGGAAGCTAAAGTATGTGTACTTCATGGGGCTAGAAAGTTCTCTGTTCCTTTCGTTTTCTAAGTTTTTCAACTCCAAAACCAGCAAAGTTCTACATTACAAATCACCTTACTGAGTGATGCATACCAGTTAACCGGCACCTTGCTGGCCAGAGCAACTGCCAGGTCAGGCCCACTGTTCTGTACTGGAGCAGCCTTGCAGCTGGCAGCCCCACAGAGCTGGGAGCTTGCAACCCCACAGGGCTGGCATCTGGCAGCTCAGTCCCACGGTTAACCATGTAACTGATAGAATTTGTATGTTACATGGTTAATGTTTTTATATAATTTTTCTTCCCTAGTTTGCATGTAGTATATTTTATAGAATTTTCTTTACTATAGGTTGATAATGTAGGTATCTACTACTCTGAGATTGTTGAGTTTATAATTATATTGCAATAGTTTGAATAAGGTATCTCTGTTCTATTAATGAAACATGTTTCCTTATCTTGGCTTAGTGTCTCAGTAGCCCCAGGTTTATTCAGAAAGTGGTGTTGGGACTGTGGATTCCTAGGTGTCTAGAGAGCGAGAGCATTGCAGAGATAATGACGTGCTTGACTAGGAGAGGAAAGAATTAAGCTAGTTCTTCCTACGGTTTCTTGTCTGCTCCCTCCCCTCCATACGTACACACCTTAAATACATTGGTAACGTTGACAGCTGATTTGGACAAACCTGAATTGAGTTCCCAACCTTTTACAAAAAATAAAATCTGCTACTATCAATTCCTACTGAAAGAAAACTGAAATGGAGTCCTCGTGTACTGACATTTTCTTGTATTTGTTTTCAGATGAACTGCTTCAGAAAGAGCAAAACTACTCCGATGATGTCTTGGCTAATATGATTAGTGAGCCCAGGATCAGCTATGGAAATGATGCCCTCATGCCTTCATTGACTGAAACTAAGACCACAGTTGAACTTCTTCCAGTTGATGGAGAATTCAGCCTTGATGATCTTCAGCCATGGCATCCTTTTGCTGTTGATTCTGTCCCAGCCAACACTGAAAATGAAGGTAATGTAGAATCACTGAGGGGAGAACCTAGAGTGTTTTGAATAGAGTTGGTGTGTGATGATTGAGTTGTGCCCTAAAAGTCCTGACCTTTCTGACTTAGGTAGGAAATTATTCATTCTAATTGGGAAATGGTCTGCTATACCTGCCTGGCTTCCTTATGTCAGTATTCCCTGTCCCATTATCTCAAATGTTTAAATCTATAATACAGCTCAGCGGTGAATTTAATCTGCTCCCCTTATAAAAGCAGCAAAATTTAAGTGATGCTCTGTAAATTAATGGGGATAATGTGTCAGAATTATGTGCATTTTAAAATCACTCAATTAAACAGGAGCTTTTAATTGTTAACGTCAAAATGACTAGGCAAACTACGCTGGAGTCTTACTAAAAATAAAATGTTGTGGTATTCATGTGATTTTACTGATTAGAATATTGTCCAGTGTTTATTTCAGAGCCATTCTGCATGCACGCAGCCTTTTGTAACTGGACATAAAAGCTTCTAAAAGAGTACTTTTGTGTAGCTGACAGGACAGTCAAGACAGTCGTATGTTTTTAATTTTAAATAATTTCAATCTGACAGGTTAAATTTAAAATTCACTGGCCATTTTACTGTCTAGGGCAAGTTTTGTCTAGGTGCCTGAGATACATTAAACAGAACTATCAAACTCTGTTCAGTTCTCTCAAGTTTCTGCTTATGTAAACATTTAGAAGAATTAACAAAGGGAACCCTAAGGCTATGTCTAGATGACATCCTCATCTAGACGTAGCCAAACACAAACTCCACCAATTTAGTGAGAGAAACTCAGTCAAGGTTAATTGAAACTTAGAAATGTGTGTTAATGAAAGAATGATAGATGCTACTTGAAGGATACACTTTATTGCTCCCAAGGGTGGGTAAATTTCATCTAGACATGTAGTTCTTACTACTTTGTAGTATGTTCCTAATAAAGGTGCACAATTAACTCTCCTTTGAATAATATACTCTTAGTAAACCTTTTACAGTCATTCAAGAGAAATGGAAGGGTTTGTATAGACAAGAATATTCATTTTATTGGAAATGGATATTTATATCAGGCCAGAATCAGCATTTTTTAATTTGTTTTTAAAAGTCTTGTACATTTAAAGAAATGACAAATGGGAACTGCTTGGTGCAAGTAAACCTGTTCTTTGGCCACCCTAGTACCCATGTCACTTCCTTCCAATCTATTAAAACCACAGCTGCTAATATTTATTGCTGATACTGATGTGATCTGACCTACACGTATATGACTCCTCTCTTCAAATCCTTCATCCTTTCTTCTTCCACCACATCAAGTTTGAACTTTACATTCTTACCTTATTTCTTATCGGGTTTCTCCAAATCCCTTGCTTCACAAATAATTAGGATTATATGTCTGTCACAGATTTCCGTGACTTCTGCAGCAGCTGGTGTGGCTGACCCCAGAGCTTCCCAAGCAGCTGGCTTCGGGGCCAGCCCAGGTGGCCTTGGGGACAGCCACACTGGCCACTGCTGGAGCACCTCTGCAGCCAGCTGATCCAGCCATTGCTCAGGAAGCCCCAGGCAGCTGGCCCTGGAAACCACCTGAGCATCAGCTAGTGCAACTGGCTCTGGGAGCTGCCTGAACAGCAGTCCCCAGGACAGCTGAAGTAGCCATTGCTGTAGCAGCTGGTGCTGCTGGCCCCAGGGCATCTCTCTCCAGCTGCAAATCTCCTCCCCCACCCATACCTCCTCAGATTTAGTCAAGTATTTTTGCTTATTGACTGTGACCTGCTCATGACTAACCCAGATTAAATTGTATCCTTACAGCTATTGCCAAATGCTGGTTATCAGAAATCCTGAGTGTTATTCATTTGGCCTAGATGCAGTCATTAATCAAAACACAATGCTATTTCTGTGTAGCTTTGGAAGATAGTATGCTTTATTATTATTATCCAAATAAGCTCTTATAATGGGTTGGGTAAATCAGTTGCCTTTTTAGATTTAACATGCACATCAGACTACAAATGTTTCAGACAGACACTGATATCTGTCAGATAATGTGTATTTATATGTGGCAGATTGATTCTAACTGAAATGTTATGACTTTTTTTCCTCAACATTGTCACAGCTGCATGAGATTTTTTAATTAATCATTTAAAAAGGAATTCATGAAGTTGAGTGATGGTAAGAGAGAAAAAGTGCAAACAAATCCAGCATTAAGGTCATAATTTGATATTTCAACATAACACCTCCCCCTTCTGCAAGTGTGCTTAAGTGATCAGGATATACTATATTCAAATTGCTGCTTTTCAAAAGATCCTTTTATTGTGTCTGTGATAGGAAATGATTTAAATCTGAGACGTCTTACTTTCATTCCGAATGTCCTGATGTATTGCATATTTGTGTAAAATATAAGTGGTGTTTTAGCAGTGTATCTCTACTTAGAATTGCTTTCCATCTCCAATTGTTTGCATACCTTGGTTTGTTTGCATACCTTGGTTAGAAGTTAAGGGGTCAGTGAAAAATTGATTTCTCTGCAGTCTAAGTTTAAGCCTGCTAAGATCCATAAAATCCTCAGGCTTATGAAAATTTCCTTTTTCCCCCTTACATACTAAGTTAATTTCCCAAGTTTCAAGTGGAAATTACATTCAAGGAAGACTACATGAACTCTTTGGTCATGTGAGTTATTTTCCTGTTACTGTGAAATATTTACAGATTTGCAAAAATCTGTCTCTTTTCCAGTTATAAAAAAGGCATTTTAAGTCCACGTAATAAGACTGAGCTTTTATAGTGTACAGTATTTAAAAAACGTGGAAAAGAGAATTTCACGGGTATTTGTATTTTAGCAATGAATTATAATACAAATTAACATTTCTAGCATAATTAGTAACACTTGGCCATCATATTTGTCAGGGTCTAATTCAGTTTAATTGGATATAATGCCTTAACGCTTCTGAAGAAACTATGGCCAGGTCTACAGTAGACCTTGAAGATCAGGTTAAGGTGTCTGCTTACCTTAAGCCATCTTTACAGAGGGAGACCAACAGAGGAGCAAATGCTCCAATTTGCTTCCCCATACTCCTCAGGACTGCCAGGAGTACTGGCACAGGCTGGAGCTGCCCTCGGCCTTCAATTTAGCAGGTTTTAATTTGACCCGCTAAATTAAAGGCAGAAGATCATTTTCTGGTGTGGTAGTATAGATGTGGCCTAAGGGTAAAATACTGAGTCTGTTGAAGTCAAACGCAAGGTTTTGCCATTGCTTATAACATTTCACTATGTGGGTTTCCCCACATAGAAATAGTTATCCTCAGTGAGAAATAGACCATTTATCTGTTTTTTTAAATAACATTTTTTGTTAACATAACCTTAACTAGCATGATCTGGCCAAACACCACTTCCATCTGTTGTGATCCCATGGAAAATTGTACCACCATCCTTACCTTAGATTTTAAGTTTTTTGATGGAGTGCCTCCTCTTCTCCTTTGGGAAAGAAAAACACATTGTGAGTGCTTCCAAGTTAAATAGTAATTAAAGTGCTAGAAATGCTAATATTCTACTCATGTATCTTAATATTAGATATAAAATTATATAAGAGCACACTGGATGAAGCTTGAACAGTCATCCCATCATGAAAAACAGTGGTACAGTAATTAACTTCAGGGAGGTCAAACTTCTATGGAAAATAGCATTGGACTCTGATTTTGTGCACTTGCTGATTTGTGCCTTCAGTTACCATATCTGCATGAGAGGTCCATGTATATGCAGTTTTGAATCAAGCAGAATTAGTGTACTTCTTGAAAACTGTGACTACAGCGTAGCTTGTTTCTTATCATATCTTTGCACATAGTCATCCTGTACATTACAGACTTACACAACTTTTACATCATCTTCCAGCACCCACCCTTTCTTCAAAGAACATAGTTCTGTCAGTGCTCTCCTTTATATACACCTCATGGCCTGAAACACACCCACTGGCTGTTCCCCATGTGAGAAACCTGATGATTGTTTGGCAGACATGTGCACTACTGTTGTTCTACTCCATTTGCAGCTGCCCTGGCTATTCTTCCCTAAACCTGCAAACAATTATCATTGAAGACAAACCCCTGGTGTTGCCAAGTAACTGATAGCACTAAAGCAGCTAGCACAGAATTGTAAGACCTACTTTGCTATCATGGAGACATAGTATAGTACAGAAAAGGCAGTGGATTAAGATTCACGAGCACCAGACCAAGTTTTTCAAAAGTAATTAATGATTTTTGGGTTCATCAATATTGGGTGTCCAACTTAAAAAATGTTAAAAGGAGGCTGATTTTCAGCACTTTTTGAAAATCAGGGCCCATTGTATTGGCCACCTAAAAATTGAAGATACCAAAATTACTAGTTACTTTTTCAGGTTCTGTTTCCAGTTTTAGCTTTCCTATGTGATCTTGGAAAAACCACTTCCCTCTTTCTCTCAAGTTCACCACCTGTAAAACGGAGGGCAAAGCTACTTGCCTTCCTTTCATAAAGCACTTTAACAACATGCATGATAAAACTATACAAGAGTTAAATATTATCATTTCCCCCATCACCGAAGTTTTGAGCCAGCCATATGTAGGACCATTTGAGCAAACAGATCCCTTTTCTTCCCTATTCATAGCTACCACCGTTTTTCCTGCCCACAACTCAGTCTTCTCATTTTTCAATGACAGACCTATAGAATGTAAAAGTACTATTATATCTGTGCCTATATATCCTTTGCAACAAGATATTCAGTCCCTGCTTTGAAGTACCAAGTGTAACAGCAACATAAAGGTGCTAGACAAGCAGGAAAAAATGTTCAGATGAATACAGAAACTGACAGAGCAAGAAAAATGGTGACAGCAGAGGATGGAATAAGGGTAACATTTCTGCAGTAGCAGGATATTTCAGTCCTTTTCAGTGAAAAAATGCTGCTGCCCTGGAGGGCTGTAACCCACGATCTGAGAAATCTAGTAAAAGGCTGAGAAAACACTGAGTGGCTATGCTTTTATTTGGCATTGTACAAAAAGCAGTTTCTGGTGTCTCTTGTGAAGGCAATCACATAGGCTACTGATGATGCTCTAAATTGCCACGAAGATAGTTTGATAAGTGATGCATCTTCACTTCGCCATATTTCTGAGCATAAAGTGCGCTAAGGAAGCAGTGCAATCCCCCTGAGAAAAGCCCTTGTAACACTCAACAGCAGAGTTGGTTAGGAATATTCCATCTAATTGATTTCCTGTCAAGAGAATGCAGTTTGCACAAAAATTGGTTTTTGTCTCAGTTCAACCCAAACCGCCATATTTTTGGTTTAACTTACCCAATGTGTTTTGTTTCTAATCTGTTCATCAAAAACATGTAAACTACATTCCCCTGTCAGCACATTGCCTTTTGAGAGTTGTAGTTTAGGACTCTCTTTTTTCCTGTGACCCATGTTCCCTGGGAGAGTACATCTTTTATAGTGCAATATGGATTTCTCTCTCATTGAACAGAGTGGGCATCATAGCATTCACCTGACTTGCAATAAATTCTGGGAAATGTTTTCCAGTCAGGGAGCAATAGCCCATGGAAGAGAATGGGGCCACCTAGCCTCTTATCTACAACTCCCATGATACAATTCACCATGTTGGGAAAATGCATTTGAACTGACTCAAAACTAAGCAGGTCAGGTCGGTAAATGAAAACAACATTTTACATTTGGGAATGTAAGTTTGTTTGTTTTTTAACATTTCCAGACAGGTTTTTTTTTTTTCCAGAAATTCCATTCACAAAAAAATTGAAATGTCAACACTTTGTCCCAATTCAGGATAAAAGGAAATGTTGAAATGTCAAAATTCTCTCTTCCATTGTACTCAGTAACAAACCCTTTGTCTTATTTTGGTTTAACCATCATTATTCAGAAAGTTCAGATAACCATTCCCACAATTCAATTGCATAACAGAACCCTGTCTAAATACTATGGTTTGGAAAAGCAGGCTGTGACTTTCACAACACATTTTGTACTTTGCACCCTATTTCCAGTTCAACGAAAAGTAGAAGCCAAGTTTGTTGTGACATTTTGGCACTTCCAATGACAATGGGAACAAGCAAACACAAAGTAGCACAAAAGCAGTAAAATAAATTTGGCAGAGAGGAGCAACTTTTTAAAAAAACTTCCCCAACCACTTCAGTTTGGGTTTAGCTTAAGTTTATAGATGAAGCTCAGGTTCCTTTTCCTATTTACTGTTAGTGCTGATGAGCTTCAAAGAGTATCATGCAAGTCTTCAGACAGATATGGCCTCTCTGTTGAAATATAAAATATTTAAAGATATGACTGAAAATGGAAGGTAATCTAATTAGATAAATTTACTGGATACAAACCAAAATTTATTAGAAACTACATGATATATTTCTCTAAAACCTGTGACTGTTGCCTTCAAAAGTTAATAATCTGGAAAAATTAACTGCGATTGGAGGTGGGGTTAGAAATCAGCAATGAATAAAACTTGTGAAAAGGACTGTTATATCAACTCCTGTTCCCAATTCTCCTCAAAAGTTAGCAAAATGTTTTGAAGCATACGATGTATAAAGCCTTACCCAACTGACTATAAAATTCTTTGATCTTGATAGTTTCTAATTTGAGCAGTATCCAGAATATAAAGCAGTGGATTGACCTGTCAGCAACAAAATACACTATTGAAGTTGTTCCCGTCTCTTTTCCTTTTATTTCCAGGATTAACTTAAGGCAAATCTTTTCCAGCTGCTGCTATTATAACTTTGTTTATGGCATATGTCTCTCCTGCACTACCCCAACAAAAGAGCAGTTGACTTATCATTTTGGGTTTTTTGTTTGCCTTTTTTTTATTTTTTGCACATGCCCAGTTGAGCCAGTCGATGCCCGCCCAGCTGCAGACAGAGGACTGACCACAAGACCAGGTATATAACTTGCATGGCTTTTACCTAACCTATGTTTCTCCCAGCATGTGTGTGACCTGCTTGAGCTGAAATGATCACCTTTTCTTTGTTATAACCCTGTTAAACTGTAGTGTCATATCATGAATCAGTATAGAGGGGAGGTTCTTGGACAGAATTTTTAAAGGGGGCTCTCACAGATCTTTTCCTCCCCAAGCCTCTGAGCTCTCGCTCGCTCTCTATCTATATATAAAGCACTATGTGCTTACAAAATCAGAAGGTAGAATACTAGAGGTGTTTGCTTTGTTTTGTAAATGAGAAGGAAGCCACACCACTGCACATATAGGGCATGTCTACACAGCAGGGCAAAAGTCAAATTAAGATATGCAACTTAAGCTACGTCAAATGCATAGCTGAAATCAAAATAGCTTAATGCAGGATTTGGCGCTGTCTATAAAGCAGGAAGTCGAAGGAAGAACACTTTCTTCAACTTCCATTACTCCTCATAATATGAGGGTTACACGAGTTGGAGTAAGAAGTGCTTCATCTTAACATTATTTTGAAATAATATTTTGCTGTGTAGACGCGAATTTTGTTATTTCAAAATAAAGTCAGTTATACCGAAATTACGCTGCTGTGTAAACATACCCATAGAAAACCGTTACTTTGGAAGTATGTGTATACTTTGTCCCTGAAAAATAGGTGGTGTTTTGTAAATTGAAAATAATAGTGCAGGATTCAACTTCTACAATTTGGAAATTGGAGGGCCATTAAAACTTTTTGAGGTTTTTAGGGACAAGACTTTTTTAATACCAGCCACTTGATGCAATTTCCAAAGGCAAAGTTGCTTTGCAGAAGTATTTTTACAAACTCAGGAAGAAGTCCTTTCTACTAGTACCCTCTCTCCAGGGATGACTAACTTGATTCCCCGCCATGATATTAGATAGGTCTGGTTTTGGATCAGAATTTCAACACTGCAACATCACATTCCTTGAAAGCAACTCTTAACATTTACCAATTAAAAAAAAATCAATCTACTTTCTCTTTCCCCTTCCAAATTTCTGATACTAAGGATAAGTACCACTGTCTTCCATGCTTAAATCTTTCAGATAAAATGACTAGTATTTACTATATACAGAAAATGTCACAATTTAAAAAAAAAACACATTTTCAAAGCAAGTTGAAGTACATACAGGTCAAGATTCAGCCTGGGACATATAATTTTAATATCATTCTAACTGATTTTTTTTAGTTTTGTGCAGAGTGCCAATTTATTCTATTTAAGCCTAGTGGGCCAGGAATCCCATCAGTTACAGATCTAAGCATATGCTATTCTAAACATATTGGGATCAGGGAACATCCTCATAGCACCTAAGTATTTTTATCTCGTGTGATACGTATCTTCCTAAAGAGAGATTAAAAATATCACAATGTAGGCAGCATTTTCATTCCCCCTCACCCACAAAATATACTCATACTTTAATCCTACTTTGTCTGCTTTACAAGGATTTTTCTACTCATACTTCTTTTCCTACATAATGTTTTATTCACTTGCTTATGCTTGTTATAGTATTGATTGGCATTTTCATATTCATAATCAAAAGCCTGCTGCTAAGAGATCCCTATTCATGGAAAATATTTTTTATAAATGAGGTAGGGGAAATCTGTTAGAAATTGATATAAGACAAGACATACTCTTGCACCAATTTGCCACATTCAGGTTTCATTTCATTAAGTGACAGCTATTATAACATTGGTAATGGGCTTCTTTGTTTCTTCTTGTACATTTCTTTGGTTGTCAGTGGTAATTGTACTAAGAGTACTGGTACCAGTGTAGTGAATGGTCCATCCAAGGTTGAATGGTAGATTTTTGTGAGGGGCTGTGATAGTTGGAAATTTGAAGGCATACAACATATCACAATATGCTATACATAAGAGACAGTGTGGTATCCTTCACCACCAACTTAGAACACTTTCACAGAACTCAGAGGTCTCTGCTGACTGACATGAGGAAGTCTTGAAGACACTGCTGAAGTCCAACCAATGTTAGGATGAACCAAACAATTATTCATTAGGCTCAAACAATCTTATTTGCCGGGTTTTTTGTTAAACATTCACTTAGGCTCTGATCTCATCAGTAAATAGAGCTGCTGCAGATTATCAGCAGACACGTTGAATTCTTAAAAACCTGATCAAGCCAGGTCACAAATAATGTGTAAACACCATAGTGAGACTTTCTGCCAATCTGCCCAAAGTGTGAGCATCTGGCAACAGATACCCACCTGATTTTTTTCATCACAGATTGAAGTTATAATACAAGTAATTTTCAAGTATTCGGAGCTATTTACAGGGGGATATACAGTACCCCAAGAATCACAACTAAAATAGATAAACACAAAGTATTAAATGCAGAAGGAATGATATAAACTTAAAAATTATCCTTCTGTCTGAATTTTAACCATGTATAACAAATAAAACATCAATTTATTATAACTAAAAGAAGGAAATATTTTGCAATGAATATAGTTGATTTCACTGCATTTATGTATAGAAAGTTAGTTTTCAGTGTTTTGGCTGCTCTATCATACATCAGTAGAGAAGAGAAAAACATTATGAAATATTAGGGTGTGTTTGTAAAACTACAAATAGTAACAAGGGGACAGAAGCAGGTGAAATACTTTCAAAAAAAATTATAACGATTCCAAACCATTTTCCCTTTAAGGGTCCTTGTGTAATCATCTTGATGCTTCAGTTTCAGCTTCTGGAGGGTGAAAATACTGATGTCTGTCATTCATAATCAGGCTTTCCTGGGGGGCTTGGAAACAAATGAACATTTAGATCTTTGGTGTCAAACCAGTTCTGAAGCAGTAGCCACTGCTGCTGTAGCGAACTAGCCACGCTGAACCAGCCAGATAGCCACATTGTTCAAGTCAAATAGTCACATGTGGCTAGTGTGTTGGACACCATATGGCTAGACTCAAGAGTATTGCTATGAGCTAACTTGTCAGATTTGCCAGTGGGTGCTCAGAATCTTTTTAAAAAAAAAAAAAAAACACCCACAGCTGTTTAATGCCCACACACATTTTTTAAAAAATGACTTATGTATTGCTAAGTAGGAAGTTCTCATAATAGCCACCTTATTTCTGTGCAAATAGCATGATTTTTTTGAGATCACAAGTAAATTAGAAATCACCATGAGAAATAATGCAGCTTAGGTGTATCAGAAAGATTGCTCACAGTGTTATCAGCTGTGGCAATGGTTTCATAGAGAGTCTAGTCACCTAATAATTATCATTCTCTTGAGCAATCAGGTCAGAAAATGTTAAAGAGAATATGAAGAACTGTCCAATCTATATAGTAGTAAGACTTCTGCAGAAACAGTCATGAAAAGAGGGCTTGTTCTTGAACCTGGAGTACAAACGTCTCTGTAAACCCCCAACATAGTTTAAGCGGGCCTGCAATGCTTTTTTATCTAAAGGATCCATGGTCATGAAGTTTTACGCCTTCCATTGACTCTGGTTTACCATTTCCAGCCATGGGGAGATGCAGGAAGCAGCAACTCTCAGGCCACTGCTTCCCATGGCTCCCTTTGTCTGGAAGCAGTGAACTGGAGCCTTTGGGAGCCGCAAAGCTCCATGGCTACAGACCCTTTAATTAAAGAAAGTGGTGTGGGTCCACTAGCAGCTCTCTCAGAACGGTCCCATGGCCCACTTAGAGAAACACTTAAAAACACAAGTGGTCCTGTAGTACCTTAGGGTACATCTACATAGCAACATCATTTTGAAATAACTAAGTCCGCGTCTACACAGCAGGCAGTTATTTCGAAATAATGTCAAAATACTGTCAAGCTGGAGGACTTCGTACTCTGACTCCTGAACCCCTTATCGTACGAGGAATAAGGGAAGTCAGAGGAAGAGTGCTCTATTTCGAAATAAGTGCTGTGTAGACACTGCCAATTTAGAAATAAGCTATTTCGAAATAAGCTACGCAATAGATGTAGCTCAATTTGCATAGCTTTTTTCGAGTTAAGCACTGCTGTGTAGACACACCCTAGGTTGTGACCACTAAAGCTCATAAACTAGTGTGTGTGTGTGTGTGTGTGTGTGTGTGTGTGTGTGTGTGTGTGTGTGTGTAGGTAGTGTCTCTGGGTATATCTATGCTGTGGGACAAAGTCAAATTAAGATATGCAGCTTCAGCTGTGTTAATTGTATAACTGAAATCAAAGTAGTTTAACTCAGCTTTTGGTTCTGTCTACTGCAGGAAGTCAAAGGGAGAACACTCTCCCTTCCACTCCTCATGAAAGCAGGGTTAGTGGCATCAACTGGAACACCTCTCTCATTTCGAATTAGCTTTCTTACTTAGATTACTAATTCGAACCCTGGAAGATAGACAGCGGCAGCTTCGATCTTCCTCTGCAGTGTAGACGTACCCATAGGTGCTACAGGACCATTCGTTGTTTAAGTTACAGACTAACACGACTACCCCCTCTGAGATTTTGAGAGACATTGATTTAAGTTTAAAAAAATGGGGGAAGGAGGCGTTTCTCTGAGCAATTATCTCTAGTCAGTGGTGCAATGTGACCAACTTTCCCTAATGCTGATATGACAGACTTTTGAAATGAAGCCTAGTGCTTCAGCACACTCTGCTTCCTATATATCATTCATAAAACATGGAACAGAAGAAGAATTGTGCCTAAATACATATATTCTTCTCTCTTCCTACAAAAGGAAGTAAATTAGAATAAATAGGTCAATAGGAAGGTAAAAATATATCGATGTGTACAAAACTTCATAGCCAACAACCTGGAGCTGTATTTTCTTTTCAATTCTAATTTTAGACAAATATTTATATTTAATTATTTATAACAAAAAATTTACCTTACAATGAGAACTTTATAGCAATTAACTCCAGCCCATAACAAAATGTAATGCCAAGCTTTGAAAATCTCTCGCATAGAAAGGATTCGTAATGAAAAGATTAACACGTCCTAGATCAGTGTTTCTCAACCAGTGGCACAAGATCTC